ACTGCTTATTCGCCTGTAGTCATTGAGGGTCACCCGGGCGGCCCTGCGCTGGACAGCCTCCACCGCCTGTATCCCTTCGATGGTATACGGGTCCCAGACGGTGGCACTATATTCCAAGTGGGGCCGGTACCAGCGCTTTATAGCAAGTGGCCTTGACCCTAGATGGACAATGGGTCAAATTGCGCAATGGGTCAAATTGCGCCGGATGACTACCAGAACTCTACCGGCTTTACTAGTGGTGTGGTTGATATGGGTGTCCCACCGCAAATCATCGGACAGATGTACTACGAGGGTTGGATTTCATTGCAGAGGGTGTAATGTGTTATGATGGGCCGTCTTTTACGGGTTATATGGAGGATGTGACATTTAGAGGGATTGAACGACATAAGCCAACGGTTCTGAAATCCCGTTCGAGCATCAAGGTCAGACTGTAAACCTTGAGCGTCTTGGAAAGTGAGCAACAACTGGCTCTCACAGGACATGTTCCTATAGATAGGGAGGGGGGTTAGCATGGTTACTAGCTTAACTACTTAAAAAGGGAAAATTACGCCACACAGAGGTGTCCTAGGGCTTCATTACTCGTTAACTGTATTGTACTGAAGAAAGTAGAAGAGAAAAGATGCATAAAGGGGTGGAAGGGAACAAAAAAAGGGAAACGGTAGAGGAGCTCCAGAAAAAGGCGGCCGCCCGTCGACCTGACCTCTGACCTAGTCGATTATTAAATGTGAAGAATAATGCTTCAGTTTATAAGCAAAGTCATGAAACACTGTGTGTACAATGCTGTATTTTATCCATTACGCGGGACTATTCACGATTTTCAGCATTGATTTACATCTGGCCGTTCCACCACCACTCGGCTTTTGAAAACGTACCACAAAGAAGGAAACGTACCGCATAGAAGGGTCCATACAAGACAGAAAAAGGCAGGTAGACATGTTATTCCTCGAGTTTGAAAATGCACTTATTACTCCGTGAAGGAGGTCAGGACCTCCGGATGGAGTGTTGTGATCGGCTGATTTTTCATGTTCGCAGTCAAAACACTGGGTTCTCTTTGTGTAATCGGCACGCAATTTTATACGCCGTCTGCGGGCATGCCCGTGTTGATGCACGAATGTGTATTTTTGCCGTTGCTGCTTTCGCGGTCAATGTAATATTGCAGACGCACCCCTACAATTACGAGGCGAATTGGAATGGTCCAGAAAAACGCGTTGTTTGGAATAGCAGTGGGGGGTGGAACTTCATGCAGATACGGGGTGGTTTTGATAAGTCGTTCCAGATGTTTTTGCCCATGCTTAAGAGATGCTAAGTTTTTTGGAAGATGTTCGCAGCCAAAACGCATTCTTCCGTACGTCGCATTTCTGTGTAATTTCGCATGTGGTGTGGCATTATGTCCGGGATGATGCACGTCTTTTTATTTTTACCGTAGCTGTTTTGATATTGAAGTAAATGCATATTTTAGAAACATCCCTACTTTTACAATCCTGTGGAATAGGCCGTAGGTTTAGGCAGTTGTCTGGCAGCAGAGGTACTGTAAGCAGATATCCTGGTTATCTGGCCGGCGGTAGTAACAAGCGGTGCTTACAGCAACTGTTGCTGGAATTTGGCCTGTTCCAGGCGCGCTTAGTTAGGTACAGGCACGGTAAGACGGTGGGTCTGTCTTTGTTACTAGACACGACCATGATAGTCCGATCTTTATGTGAATGCAGTGATTGTGTGTGTGTAATTAAAATGAACTTCAAACTTGAAGCACAGTATCTTTACACGCCCTGGGAGCAGTAATGGATTTAGCTCTTTGTATGTTTTATGCTTGTGACGCGCCCTCATTGTATTAACCGTTGCCTAATTATAATGTCTGCACAGTAGGTCTGGCGTTGACGCTTGGGATTTTGTTGAAATATATAAAACTTCACGGAGGATTGTCACCTATGGCTTCTTGTTTTTTTCTGTTTCACACACTCTTTTGATCCACAAACTAAAAACATTTTGTTTTGGCGGTGATCTTGTGGCATGGTTTAACTCATGTATCACCAACCGTCGTCAGCGTGGGATGTTGGAGCGTTACAACACTGAATGGCTTCCTGTTACTTCAGGAATGCCTCAGGTAATAATAATACTAATAAAAATTGTTTATTCACTTCTTTGTAGCGCATGTACAGACTTGCAGTGCCCTGAATTGGGCACTGAATTGTCCAATTATTTGCACATTTATTATCATCTTTCAATATTACTTTACTTCTATTCTTCGCAAGCTCCGAAGAGAACTATGTTTCCCGTCTATTTCACAGACAAACACACACAATTAGGGAAGTGAGCTCACCGTCACGAACGTACAGTGAAAGGTTGAGTCACGAATGACCCTTACGAGGGTTAGGGAGGAAGGGTCAGAGGTAAAGGGGCAGAATAATTAGTATCAGGATAGGGGTCACGTGATTTGTCTGTTCAGCCGACGGGAAATGAGATTGTACATTTAAAATACGCTGCTGGTGCTACAGGTTAAAATACGATAAACGCTAACGTAACAATAAAGGCACTTAAAATACATACAGATATGGAGGATATAAAAGACACAAGGAGCAGTGATCAGTGATCATATATCCGACATGAATTTTGCCAATGTAAGCTTTCGTGCTATTCTTAAAGCGTTGAGTTCTGGCGGCTACCGTGTTGAGTTTATGGCTGGATCTAGTGATCCTTCCGCTGATCAGTGAACGAGTTGGTGGCAGCCACTGTCTGAAAGGGCATTCCAGCAGACCGCGGCCGAACTTATAGGATCAGGTGCTGGCATCTTTCCTGGATTGTGGTCAACCCTATAACCTTAAATTATTATGTCCTTATATATCTGATAAAATCGCATATGTTTTTAATTTATCACTTTGCCATGGTGTCTTTCCCGAAGCCTGGAAACGGGCAAATGTGGTTCCGATTTATAAAAAAGGAGATCATGATGATGTGTCAAACTATCGCCCCGTTTCCTTGCTACCTTGTTTGTCAAAAAACTTAGAGAAAATTGTCTATAAACATTTGTATAATCATCTGATGTCTCAAAACCTTTTGTATACTCTTCAGTCGGGCTTTATCAGAGGAGATTCGACAGTTAACCAGCTTATTTGTATTACCGACAAAATTTTCAATGCTCTTGACTCCAACAGAGAAGTCCGAGCGGTTTATCTTGACTTTTCTAAAGCCTTTGATAAGGTCTGGCATAAAGGATTAATTTTTAAACTTACAAAAAAACGGGGTAGATGGTCCAATTTTAAATTGGCTCTACAGTTATCTTTCTGATAGAGAACAAAGAGTTGTTATTGAGGGTCATTGTTCCGACTGGAAACATGTCAGCGCAGGTGTACCTCAGGGTTCGGTACTTGGACCCCTTCTGTTTCTTATTTACATAAATGACATGGTGGATGGTTTGGTTACCTGCCCCTACTTATTTGCAGATGATAGCTCCCTACTGGACATTGTAGATAATCCCAACTCTTCAGCTGATCGACTTAATTCTGATCTTAGGAAGATATCACGCTGGTCTTCGACCTGGCTTATGGAGCTTAACCCGCTAAAGACTGAAGAGATGTGTTTTTCTAGGAAATCCAATTCTCCAGACCATCCCCCCATTATACTTGATAATTGTGTTATTAAATCTGATAAAGTTCATAAGCATATAGGAATGATACTTACCTCCACCATGTCTTGGGAAACTCAAATTTCACATATGATTGCTAATGTATCCAAACGAGTGTCCACTCTCAACAAGTTGAAATTTAGATTACCACGCACTGTACTTGATGTCATTTTTAAATCTTTTATTCGACCTCTTCTTGAATATGCTGACATAATATGGCATGGATGCACTGTGTATGATTCTCAACGATTAGAACGAGTCCAATATGAATGTGAACTTACAGTTTCAGGGGCTGTCAGAGGGTCTTCTTACTCCTCACTCCTTGTTGATTTAGGTTGGGAGAGACTCTCTGATCGTCGCCATGTTCACTCACTGATCATGATGTACAAAGTAATCCATGGCCATACCCGTCAGTATCTCAGGGACCTGATCTCTCCCGAAGTTTCTTTTTCGACTTCATATGATCTTCGTAATAAATCTAATTTACGGCTACCGCTTTGTCTTACAACTAGGTATAAAAAGTCTTTCATTCCATATGCTACGCATCATTGGAATGGTCTTGATGTAGCTGTTCGATCTCTAAATCTTTCATTGTATAAGAAGTACTTAGTAAAGTCAGTACGTTCCCCTTTTTACCGACATTTTAGCATCGGCCCCAGGTACACCTGCGCATTACTCACGCGTCTCCGCATCGGGACCTGTAGTCTTAACCACAGCTTATTCTTAAGAAATTTTGCCCCTAGTGCTGCTTATATCTGCGGGTCTCGTTGTGAGAGTGTCATACATTTTCTTTTACACTGCCCTTTATATAACTAACAAAGAGTCACCCTACTCAGCAATCTCCAGAATTTGGTAGGCTTTGATTTTGATGTTTTCAATATGTCTGAACAATTGTTATGTGATATTTTACTTAGAGGATTACCTGATTTATACTATGATACAAACTGTAATATCTTGCTAACGACTCAAACTTATATTGTTGACACCAAACTGTTTGTACTCGATTGATTTATTATATAGCCTACTAAACATTTCTTTGTACTATTTAACGACCCATCCCACCCATTTGCTGTTCTCTGTTTTTTGTTACGTACTGTAATTGTATTCTATGTTTGGTGGTGAGGCTAAAATTAGCTATAGCTAGAGTACCTCACCACCTTGTCTTGTATTGTCCTTGTTGAATTTGCAAAAAAAAAACCCTAGGTGGCTAAAGATGAGTGAACCCTAGGGACCTAAAGTCAAACTAACACAAACCTCTGTACCGTTCCTATTTACCTGCCAAATATTATCGCATCCCGTATGACAGATCTTGATATATACACCAAAACATCATTCAAAATGAAAACAAGATAAACCTTTTTGGAGTTTAAGAAATACATACCTTTGATTAAAACTGCCCGTAGGGGCATAACGTAGAGACCATGAGCTGGGTAGCTGACTGGTGACCTGCCGTCCACATAGTTGTATATGTCGTCCATACAGATCTTCCTTAGATTTGTAGATGCGAAAGGTCTTTAAATAATCTTTTAATACTGATGCATAACTACAAATTATGAGCATTTATGTCAAAAAAGACATTAAATATAATAAAGATAAAAAGATAAATGTATTTAACCGCTATATTGTTATATGTGGTTAACTTTAACGTATATATTTAAGTATCATGTTAGCATTCTTTATTGTATAATAAGAATAAAGCCATCCAATACACTTTCAGTGCAGCAAAACACACGAATTCTGCTGAGGAAATCTGACACTTGCTACAATCTTCGAGCACATCCATCATTATTTCTTATACCTGAAGTCTTTTAAATAGTCCTTAACATTTCTAATTTAATTTTTTTAAAGTCTTGTAAACTTTTAATGTTTTCCTAGGATACGTTTATTTCTGTAAAATTTACGTTAAAAAGGTCGGGCAGAACCACATTGCCATGGTAACAATTATCTAATTACCTCTTCGTTGGCTATTGCAATGGATACAATGAAAAAGAAGGTACTTCGAAGTTTTTGAACCAAAATGCTAGTTCAATGATCAGCAAAATGATCTCGATTAGGGGCATTATTGTTAGATGCCACACACATTTGGAATTTTGATCGAGACATTGACATAATGTTGCGAAAGCTTGTTAAGCGGTTTGTTGATTATTCAAAACAGAATAAAATTATACAGTTCATAATTAAATATTACTATAGTAACTAAGGAACCTTACCGCCTCTCAAATCGTTCTAAACTTTTCATCTTTTGTTCAAGTTCCAGTGTCCACTGCGGAGAGGTGTGTATGGTTTCACGTACTCTTCTGTTGCAGACGCAAGGCGGTTCACTGGTTTTTTTAAAAGGGTAATAGAGCAATAATTAAAATATTCTGGCATGCTTTTTGATGAAGCGGGTCATTTCTGATTAGAAATTGTTCTTGTAGTTAATGGTAAACGCATAGTATTGACACAATGGGTAAAAAATAAGTATTTCCAGGTCATATATAAATAAACCATGCAAAAAAACATTTTAATGTAATATGTATATTGTTTCCTTGTGATTAGGCGTTTGAAATTCCAAGTTTAAAAAAAATTAAACGAAAGGTAACCAGCGTCTTTTTTTTATTTTACGTGGACACCAATAAAATTTTCAATGGTAACACTAATGCAGTATAAAATGCATTCCGACTTATAGGGGTAAAGGGTGTAAAACTAAGTCATACTTTTAGGTTATTACGTAATGGAAATGTACGTATTATGTTTCGCAACAGCTGGGGGATAAAACGCTATCTTAGCCTTACCATACTTACACTAATTATACTTAAAGAACCAAAACAAACTTACTTCAACGTTAACATCGTGTCATTCTTTCTTGCACAGATTTTCTGTTCTCTTGCAGCGAGCACAATTGGCGCAACCATTTGTGTTGCAGGTTCCACGTGTTTAATAACACATGGCTCAATATGAATATAAATGCTGAGTGAAACACAACTGCAACAGGCATAAGATATTTAGACTAACACATAATGCAAACAAAAAAAAAATAAATAAAACGTAGGTACATCGATCTTTAGCAATTGACGTAGCAATCTCGGATGCGTTTTAAAATATATTTACTTGCCCATGAATAATAAACATTGCTTTAAAAAAGTCCATGAAACAGACGCCTCCCCAAAGTAATGATGGTGTTTATGGTATTTTTTTTATTAATGAGAAACTCAAATTGGTCAGCAGGCCGTTTTTTTTTCTTTTAGGTCATAAGGGAAAAGGCAATTGTCAGACATAATAAAGAGTTAACATAATTTAAAGTTCTGGTATTTTGATAACTTCTGTCATACCTACATGCAAAATCTATGAAAATGATCTTCTTTGACAGGCAAACGAGTTGTTTAAGGTGTAAAAGTCCTATCTTGGAATATTGCATTGTTTTATTTTTATAATATTTAAAACATCCACCTCATTTACCTCTCTATGACTCACTATTATGTTGCACAATCTGCCATCAGTGACACCAATGTTATGCGCCAATGTAAATACCACAATAGCAAGTCCAGCAAATGTGTCAGTTTTACGTATTAAGCAGACGCATCATGATGGGCAGAGCACTGTTCTGAGAACGATCAATTCTGCTGCAAGGAGTGCTTAGTTTATAGGATGATCTGGTTTATTGCACCTATGACAAGTGGCAGTAAATGCCGGGACTGTTCAGATTGTCTAAGGTAGTTTTCAAAGTTCTTAGTTATGACATCGTGTTTGAAGGGTGGGTAGTTCCAGGTATTAGCAGCCATCGGTGTAGGGTGTGTACTTCGCACCCATAATGATGCTTGTGGCTCTCTGTTGAACCTTCTCGATCTTGTTGCTTAGTAAGCCCATTGATCAGTCCAGAGTGCCAGACGGGGGCAGCGTACCCGAGAACTGAGCATATATAGGACACATAGACTGTGACGAGGTCTACTAAAGAGATGTTAAAGTGTTTCAGTTTGCGGAGTAGGAACTGACGGAGGGCGTATTATGTCCGATCATAATAAGGGTCATGCTGACATATTGAACAGTTTCATTCAGTGTTCGGGGACGGTAAAACTGCCTACCTGCCTAAGTGCCCAGGCCAGGTACTGGCCCCTTGCTCCCCTCCGTCAAGTTCCTCCAACCAGTTCTGTCAAGAGCGATAGCCTCAGCTACACTTAGAGTAATCCCTGTGTCACTCTGGATCTGATCTTTCCACCTCTTGGGTGGTCTTCCCCGGGGTCTAGGGTTTTGGAAGTCCTGGTGGTATGCCTTATAAACTAAGGTGTTTGCCGGTCTTCGCATCACATGCCCAAACCATCTGAGCCTTCTAGTGCGTATCCTGTCAGTGATGGTTTGTTCTGCCCCAAGTCTTGACCGGATTTCTGCATTTGGGATGCGGTCCCGCAGGGTGATGCAGAGTATCACTCTTAAGCATCTCATTTCAAAGGATAGCAGTAGAAGTTCAGGGTCCATGTTTCACATGCATATGTAGCAATTGGCAGGATAAGTGCTTGGAACAGCCGTACTTTGAGGTTTTTTGCTAATATCCCTTTTGTTTATCTGAGCCTACCAAATACAGAGGCAGCAAGCGGTATCCTCCTCTTAATGTCGCTAGTCGTGCCAGGGACGACACTTCCAGGAAAGACAAATTCAGGGACCTTCTCAACTGATGTGTCTTCTATCATGATGTTATCTGTTTCCTCACTAGTGATACCTTTACATTTTGCCGCATTGACCTTTAACCCTCATTTTTACATGCAGACTCAAGTTCTGTTGTAGAGATTTGAAGTTTTCTAAATATAGCTGCTATAAGAGTGGTGTCATCAGCATATCTCTCCTCAGTAGAGAGGTTGTCATGTAGCTGAAAAATGGGATCAAGACTTTTCAGCTCATCCATTACAAACTCAAGAAATATGTTGAAAAGGACAGGTGACAAGAAGCAACCCTGTCTGACTCCCACTCCCACCTGGAACCAACTGGTGATTTGCCTGTTGAACTCTATAAAAGAATTTCAGGAGAAGTGCAACATGCCACCCGTGGACTACCCATTCTACTCTTCATAAGGTCAACATTTGGATTTAGAGGGTCAAAAAATTACTACTGTAATGGTTCCAGAGGAACTAGCATATACCTGTCTGCTCTGCAAGGCAATGGCAGCACCTAATCTAAGGTGAGTGTCTTTCAGTAGACATGTCTGTGCAGTACCACTCACCATCGCCCTCTAATCTTCAGTTAGTACTGGCACGCTACCATCTGACTGGAAAACAGCCATATTGCACCGGTGACCGGTGTTCAAGAAAGTTGAGCAGGTAACTATCACTCGGTGTCAATAACGAGTTTTTTAATGTGCTTGAGCACATCTTAATCTTTTTATTTATTTTTTTATTGAATCTTCAGACACCCGGCTGGCCTAGTTCAATTTTGACAAATTGATTTTCAATAGGGCCCAGTACATAAATACAATAAAATCAGACACATACAGATACAAACAAAGATCGATATAAACAAATCCGAATCGTTATCCATAATTCGTGTCGATTAAACAGTCCAGGTCGGCTTTCCGTTTGGAGGTCAGAGGTCAATGTACACAAAGATTAGGTAATTGAGTTCTTCAGAGCAGTTTTGAAAGATTTCAAAGATGTTTGTTCTGTGATGTTTACTGGGAGAGAATTGAAATAATGTACACCTCGGTAAGCAAATGTGTGTTGTCCAGCTGTGGTTTTGAATAAAGGTATGTAGAGTTGTGATGTCTGTCTGGTGTTGTAGCTGTGGAAGTTGTAGTTGTGTGAGAAGATAGATGATAAATATGTTGGTGCTAAACCATTTACACATTTAAACACCATAATACACATATGATCCCTTCTCCTGTCGCCGAGGTGCTGCCAGTTAAGTCTGTGGTGGAGGTCAAGTGCGCTGCTGGCCTGCTGTCTGCACTGTAGAACTATCCTGGCGGCCCGGTTCTGCAGTACCTGGAGCTGCCGCTTTCTTGCTACCCCGCAGCTCTCCCACACTGTGTCGCAGTAGTCCATGAGGGGGAGTACCATTGACTTATACAACATAGCAGTTACATTAACTGTGAGACAGGGTCTAAGACGCCTGAGTAAGGCTAAACGCTGGTTTACCTTAATACAAAGTTTGTCCATGTTTTTATTCCACGTTAATTTGTCGTCAAGAACAACTCCTAGGTACTTGAACGAATTCACTCTGTCTATGGTTTCATTTCCAATATTGATTGTACCTGGTTTTAAAGATTTTAGTTTTCCACTACTACCGAAAAGCATCCACTTTGTCTTAGAAGCATTTAATGTCAAGTGATTTGTCTGAAACCATGAAGATAAAAGAGTGAGTTCATTGTTCAGGGTGGTTTCAATGTACCTTAAGTCATCACTGGAGCAAAAAATGGCAGTATCATCTGCATAGAGACATACTTTGCTGGATACAGATTCTGGAAGATCATTTATAAACAAAATGAACAACAACGGCCCCAGTATGGAGCCTTGGGGCACTCCAACTGTAACTGGGAGATGATCTGAGGAACAACCATGTAGAGACACTGCTTGCTGCCTGTCAGATAAGTAGTTGGTAAACCATTTGAGTTCTACATCTTTGACTCCAATCCAGGACAATTTCTTTAATAACAGGTAGTGATCAACCGTATCGAAGGCTTTTTTTAGATCTAAAAACACAGCCCCCACAAGGTTTCCCCTATCAATGTTTCGATACACATAGTCAGAGACATCTCTGTAGTGGCCGTTGAATGTCCTGGTCTAAAACCAGACTGTTGTTCAGCTAGGATGTTTTGTTTGTGTAGATAGTTCAATAACTGACTGTGAACTTCTTTATCAAATGCTTTCATGATAACTGGAAGCACAGATATGGGCCTATAGTTATTCGGGTCTTCTTTGTCTCCACCCTTATGTATAGGGGTTACCTTGGCTGCCTTCCATTCCTTAGGAATGATACCAGTTGCAAGAGACAGGTTAAATACATGGCACTATAATGGGTCATCTAGAAAACCACTGCATTCTTTGTAACCAACAACACGGTTATAGAAGAGAGAGGCCATTTAAAACACAACTTCTTAAATTCACAGAAGAGCTGTTTGAAAATATGGTAAGTGGCCGTCAGACGGACGTCCCTGTGATGGACTTTGCAAAAGCCTTTGATGAGGTTAACCATAGTCTACTACAACATAGACTCTGCCATTATGGCATCCGTGGAGAGATCAGTGCTTGGGTCACAGCCTTCTTCACTGACAGACCCAAAGCGGCAGTAGTCAAAGGTAAGCGCTCCGACTTCGTCAGTGTGAAATCGGAGGTCCCACAGGGCTCCCACAGTCTTGGGGCCTCCGTTATCAATGCTTTGCCGTCTGTCCTGACCTGCTGATTACACTGCTGCGTACAACACCATCATCTCTGCAAAGGACCAGTTAGTGCTTTATCAAGACCCGCAACAGCTTGCTGAATGGGAGAACGTAGAACCCGCATTAGGAGGGTCTTCCAGTACTACTACCAACTCCACGGTCAGACCTTGGAGATGGTCCCTAGCGCCAAGCAAGAAGGTGTAACCATCACGAAAGACCTCACCTGGAAAGAGCACATCAACAACCTGTGCAACAAAGCCAATAAGAAGTTGGGATTGCCCTTTTGAATAGGCTAATCACCGAGCGGTTTAATCGCCACATGCCCGCGCACGTAAAATGGCGTCGTTGCACAACTAGCGCGACGAGCAGACAAAGTTAAAAGTTGGGCCGTCAACTACACATTAGCCGGGATTTTGACCCTATCTACACCGGGCTTTTTTGGGATTCGTCGGACGGAGGGGGTGTGCTCAATCGCCCCCCCCCCTCAAAACTCGAGAACAGTATACTAAACGGAGTATTAGTGACAATAAATCATAACAACAATTTTGTAGGATGTAAGATGTGTTGATCATGCACCCGTCTCTCACGTAGAGGTGAAGAGAATATGTAGGACTTTTTTTACAACATTTTGCGGGATGAAGATTCATATGGCTATCGTCGGACCCTTATTCATGCCAGTCAGATCCTTCTGGATGTTAGAGGGTGCTGAGTTCGGGTGCCTGACGTTAAGTAGATTCAGTTTGTTGAACGAACTTCTATCGCTTACAGACCGCGTGACGAGCAGTGCCGCCGAAATAAGCAATAAATATCAACTGGCCGAGTAGGGTACCCTGAGGTAGGCCACAAGTAACGATGATACCGTCAGAAAATGTTCCATGGCGCCTGTTAGGTTACAATCCACCTCACAAAAGGGAGGATTCCAGACATACATCTAACAGAGGACAAATGGCGGTGATAAGGCAGTTGCTTTGAAAATCTCATTCGTCAAGTCCAGTGAGTGGCAAAGCTTTCAGCAACCTTTGCCATGAGTGACGTCAGAGAGATAAAACGGAGTTCGTGAACCGATGGTTGTTTTGTCTTGGGCATCCGGTCCGCAGTCCGCCAGGGAGAGGGGGGGGGGGTCTGAGTTCGTATGCAAATTCATGTATGACCTTTCCCGGGATCCCGTCAGGTCCGGCTTCTATCCAATTACCTTTAGTTTCCTTTAAACTTTCCAAGGTTCAACAGACACTGAAAAATGTACGTCCGGGTATTTATGCTGGTAGTGAAGATAGATTGGTCTGCTGGAGGGACTGGATAAACGAAATAACCGATGTAAGTGTTTGATGTCTTTTGTCGCAGAGCTCCGCAGAGATATCACCGAGGGCTGTGTTAGCAGCTCCATTGAGGGGCTTTGCACATGGAGATTGCTCTTACAGGGCCTTCCCAAATGTTAAGATTCTTTGAACCTAGATATTTTTCTTAACAATATTCGACAATATACAATAAAGTTGCTAATAGTTTCATAGTACATGAATTTTCGCAACATTTTCAAAATGGTGTAAACTATCCTCAGGGTGGTACGTTATTTCGTCTTATAGCCTGGCAATTTCATAACAAACATTATTTGTAATTTTATAAGATTCTTCATAAAATGAATGAATAAAGGGTTTATTTCAGTTGACACCTCGCAGCCAATTGGCCAAATTACGAACAACTCACAAAATGTCTTTAACTGAATTACATTCAACTTAAAAGTGTTACACAGTTACAAAATACAATAGATAATGTTGTGTTACCTTACCTGCCTGCGACAAAGAATATAAGATGAAGAAATATGTCCTTCTTTTTAAAATTTTTCATATCTATTGAAGAGTTGTATCTGGAAAAAAAGAATATATTAGATTTTAAATGACGTTTGGATCCTTTCGAAAGTGGTTGAGGGTAATACACTGTCACCTTTTTTTTATAAGTAAGAGTTAAAAATTGATGAATGAAATTTTTCATGGCTAATTATCATTGCGAGTAGCAGTGCATTTCGTTACTGGGTGAGTTGTTGTATGCCCATATATTTTATTATTATAATATTATATATATCTAT